ACATTTTTCTTTGTATAGAATTTTAAAATTTAATTTATGTGTGTGTGCATATGTGTGCATATACATGAGTGTGCAGATGTGGATGCACATCTGTACGTGTGTATGTGGAGGACAGAGGTTGATCTTGGCAAGCCTTGTTTTTTTTTTTTTTTTTTTTTTTTGAGACGTCTTATTTTGTAGCCCTGGCTGGCCTATACCTCACAGACATCTGCCTGTCTCTGCGTTCTGAGTGCTGGGGTCAAAGGTGTGCGACCATGCCCAGCTAACTTTGTCTTCTTTCCTTTTCTTTCCTGTCTTTCTTTTTTTGAGACAGGGTCTCTGACTGGTACCTGGGGGGTCACTGATTCAGCTAGGCTGATTGGCCAGTGAGCCCCATTGATCTTCCTGTCTCTGCCTCTCTTCTGCTGGGATAACGTGTCTGCAACAGCACACCTGACTTCTTATGTAGGTGCTGGGGATTGAACTCAGGTCTCATGCTTGCATGGCAGATACTTTACTGACTGAGCTATTTTCCCCCAGTTTTTTAATACCAAAGAAGATAATGTATTAGTTATTTCAGAGATATTATGTGAGCCACGTTTGTTTTCAGAGATTGGTGGTGGATTTGGTAATATTACCATGCTTTTTGAAGCAAAAAGATATCTGTGGCACAATCTGGCAGATTCAGTGTGCCATGTTGACACAGAGAAAAAAATTAATACAAATATATTTAAATTAGCTAATATGAGAACATAAAATAAATTACAGTTAAAAAATGTTGTGCAATGCAGTTCCTAGTTTCTTCATGGAGGTTATCTCTAGAAGAAATCACAGGAGAAGAACACTAACTGCCAAGGGGCTCCCAGATATAGTCTGTCTCTCTTTGATTTTTTTTTTCACTTTTATTTTTATTTATTTAATTTTTGAGACATGGTCTCCCTGTAGTTCCAACTGGCCTGGAACTTGCTATGTAGATAAGGCTGGTTTAGATCACACTGTCTGCTTCTGTGTCCCATGTCCCATGTGTTAGAACTGAAGTCATGTACCACCATACCTGGCACTTTTAAATGAAAAAAAAATGTTGTTATTGTGTGTGTGTGTGTGTGTGTGTGTGTGTGTGTGTGTGTGTGTTTACAAGTGTGGAGGTCAGAGGACAACTCTGTGGAGCTGATTCTCTACTTCTGCTTTTATCTGGAATGGAACTCAGGTTTCCAGTCTTGCTCAGCAAGTGCTTTTGCCCACGGAGTCATCCTGTGGGCTCTTTTTGTTTTTCTAGATAGAGTTTTATGTAGCCAAAACTGACCATGAACTTGATACGTGGTGGATGATGACCCAGAACTCCTGATCTTCCTACCCCTACCTCCCTAGTGCTGGAGTTAAAGGTGTTAGCCACCATACCTAGCTCAAACACATTTTTTTTTAATGGCTGACTATATATTTGAAATCTTTAACTTAGGGATCTGAATTAGAGAGGAAAAGAATTATTTATGTTATGGAGTGTGCGTGTTCCCTTTATAAGCACTGGGATCTGTATACATTAGTTCTGGAGACTTGTGATATTTTAGTGTACTTTCATACAGTCTTGTTTGTACTTAGTTCTAGGGAAGTGCTGTTTGACCATTTTCTGTAATGTGTTTCAGTGGCTTCACATACATGAGAGTGTGAAGGTGATTTCCATTTCATTTCTACTTGGAAGTGACACTGACTTTTTTTTTTTTAACAGCTCAGGTGTATGGAGGAGATTGAGGAATAGTAGAGAGACTATTAGATCTTATCTCTTTTAAACAACTGTATAGATAATTATTTTTGTGGGAATTGAACGATTTCTTTTTAATGTCAGTAGAGCCTTCTTATTATGAGGATGAAGACACCTTTTTCTCGATGTTTCATACTCAAGTTCCTCCAAAAGATTATGAAAGTCAGATGCTGAAAGTTGAGAAAGGTATGTTTCATTTTGTATCCTTGTGTATATTGTCACAAGGGAATGCTAGCTGTACATGAATAAAATGATGTGGTATCATTTAATGCCAAGGTAAGAAGCAGCTAGGGTGCAAGGTGACACATAAGGGCTGAGGATGTACCCAGTGGTAGAGCACTTGCCTAGCACATACATGTAAGGCCCTTGGTTAGATCCTAGCACAACAAACAAACAAACAAACAGATGACACACAGTCTATCTGAGTTGATCCACGTTGAAGCTACTTGTTGCAAGTTCATGATTACATTCTACTACTGGAAGTTTGCAAGTTCCCACAATAAAGAACTTTTTAAAAGCAGACTGCAAGTAACAAGCTGGTTCAAGAGGGTGGGGAGAAAAAGAAAGGCTCTTGGTGGTAGACGGCTTTATTTGGTTCAAAGAAGATGCATTATGGTAAGTCTTTGAAAGGAGGACTCAGTTCCAGAATCCTGGAGAAGACACTAGCCCAGGGAGAGGTTTGGTGTCTGTCCAGGTCTACAGCAGGCTATCCCTGATCTAACAGCAGGGCTGGAATTGCTGTAGGCACAGGGCAGCTCCTGTAACATCACAGCCAGACCAGGGAAGAAAGAAGGTGTTTTTAGTGATACAATTACAGTCTTTCCTACCTACAATTTATTTGAAGTATGTTTTAAAGAAACTCTATTATAAATGTGAAAATGGCTGCATGTGAGTTACTTTAATGTATTATATCTGAAACTTAGTTTAACCTGAATATTCAATTAAGAAGACTGTGTAATGTAAATTCTAAGGAAGAAATGATATATTTATATCAAAAGTGGCAAGTCACCAAAACAACAGCAGCAAAATATTGGTAGCTTATTTATAAACTATCTAGCATCTATCTATCTTTTTTTATTTATTTTATTTTTTGAGACAGGATCTCCCTGTAGCCACAACTGACCTGGAACTCACTGTAAAGACCAGGCTGACCTCAAACTCACAGATATCCATCTGCCTCTGCTTCCCAAGTGCTAGGATTAAAGGCATGTACCACCATACCCGGCTAAAAGTATATGTTTTATTAATAAAGCTCCAAGTGTAACGTATAGGCTTATTTGCCTAGAAAAGTTTTAACATTTTTTGTTTGAAAAGGTTTTTAAATCCAGAGATCTTACTCTTTTACTTATTTTTTCTAAATAATTTCATCAAATTTTTTTTTTCAAAATTTATTCTTTAATTGTTGACTATTGAATCTTTGATAAATGGCTATAAGCATACTACATGTTCAATTCTTGGTTCTTTTTGATGAACTTAGTTCTTCCTTGTAAAATGAAGATAGTTTTTACTGACTGGTGATTTTTCCTTTTTGAACTTTAATATGTTGATTTATCATACCTTTTAAAGTTAAGATTGTACAGTAATGGGGATCAGACCTAGGGCTTGCATGTACTAGGCAAGCATTCTACCCCTGAGCCACATCCCCAAACACTTGGCACTACTTGTGGGATGAGCCCCATTTGTCACTTAAGGAAACCTTTGTGTGCATGTTTTTAGAATTTTCATGAAGTATTCCTTAAAAAAACAGAGTGAAGACATAAAATTGATGCATCTTAGCTCTGGAAATTGTTATTGAGTATGTCAATGTTGTTGTGCTTCTTCTAATTATGTAGTTATTAAATAAAAATTTAAAAAACGGAAATGTCAAAAAACCCCAGAAATGTAAAAAAAAATGTAGGAAACAGCATATTTTAAAATGAAATGGAGATCTTCTTTAATGGGTAAAAACTCATTCAATATTATGTCTTACAGGGTTTATACTGAGTTCAATATTGTATAACTGCATTAATTGTGAACCAAAACTGAATATGTTAAAGCTGTAATGAAATGCTTCTTCTAATCATGTGGTTATTAAAAAAAATTAAATTAAAAAAACAGTGAAGACAAGACCATTAACAATGGGAATAAGAGTCCACCAGTATTTTTCTTACCCCTGTTTCTAATTTTTATTAACTCTTTGAGGATTTTGTACATGCGTACAGTGCATTTTGATCATAGCCACTCTTCTCTTCTCCCCTCTTTCCAGACCCAGCCCTATCCACTTCCTAACTTCATGCCCTTTTTTAAAAAAAAAAAATCTTTCTTGGGGGGGTGAGATTTTTATTTTTTTTTCCTTTAAAAGTTTTTTTTTTAATGTATTTATTTTTATTTTGTGTGTATGAGTGTTTTGCCTGCATGTGAGTGCACCTGTGCATGCAGTGCCCACAGAGGTCAGAAGAGGGCATCCAATTCCCTAGAATTGGAGTTATGGATGATTGTTAGCCACCATGTGGGTGCTGGAAACCCAACCTGGGTCCTCTGCAAGAGCAGCCAGTGCTCTTATACACTGAGCCATCTCTGTAGCCCTGATGTCCCTTCTTTTTTAACCCAGGAATCCAGTTTGTACTGCCCATTCACTTATGGGTGTGGGGCGATCCACTGGAGCATGATCAACCTACCAGGGCCACACCCATGAAGAAAATTAACTCTCCATCAGTGGTCAAGAGCTCCTCAGCTGGGGCGGGGGCTCACTCAGCTGGGGCGGGGGCTTGTGAGCCCCTTCTCCATGCTCTTGCCCTGTTTGGTGGACTTGTGGTGTGTGCATCTCAGAGGTTTATGGAGGAAGCTCCTTATCAAAGATTGGGGAAAAACTGACCATCCAGGATGGGCTGTAGGGGTTTGTGCAAATAGCTTGTGGAACATGTGGGACACTCATCCCTGGACTTTGCTTAAAAGGAACAGGCTTGCTAGTTGTGGTGGCCCACACCTTTAATCCCAGCACTGGGGAGACAGAGACAAGTGGATCTCTCTGAGATGAAGGCCAGCCTGGTCTACATAGGGAGTTCTGGGCCAGCTTGCACTAAAGGGAAACTCTGTCTCAACAAAACAAAGCAAAATAAAACAAAAAACAAAATAAACCCTCCTCCCAAACAAAAATAGAGACAAGCTTGAGAGAAAAATTCTTTATTCAGAAAGAATGAAATGACAGCAAACTATTAGAATAGTAGGAAATGGCTCTAGTTTTGTTTCATATAAAGACACAGTAAAAATATATATTTTTAAATTTCATAGCATTATAGATTTAGTTTTCATGTTATGAATTGCAGCTCTGTTCCTCTTTTCTATTGCCCCCAAGATGTAATAGTTGATATCTGATAATAACACAAGAGGTTTAATGAGAATGGCTTTGGAATTTGTAGTAACCCATTTATCATTTTAATAAGAAAAATCTCCAGGACTGGAGAGATGGCTCAGCAGTTAAAAGTGCTTGCTGCCTTTCAGAGGACCGAGTTTGGTTCCCAACATTCATGTTTAGCATCTTAACAACTGCCTATAACTCCAACTCCAGGTAATTTTTTTGTCTTCTTCTGGCCTTCAAGGACACTCACACCTATACACATAAATAAAATAAAAGAAAAACATTTCCATTTATATTAGGTTTCTAGATCTAGAATTTCAAACTTATTCCTTATGTGTGTTTTCTTATATATTTTAATGTGTGATTAAAGTGAATATTTAGTATAATCCACAACTGTATGTATGAAATAATTTTGAATTTTTTTCATATTAGATTTAATCTATGATGTGGAAAAAAACGAGTCATTGATCAAAACAGAAAAGAAGCCTTTTTCAAATACAGAAAAGATTGAGCTTAGGAGTAAACAGAACCAGGATTTTATTAAGCGAAACATTGAGGTATGTGTGTCATAACTGAAGAGAGTAAATGAGATAATAAATGAGGCAGAAATGGCAATAATGTGTTCAGAGGTTTTAAAATTTATTTATTTGCTTGTGTGTGTGTATATGTGTAGCCTATGTGTACATACCCATGCAGAGGCCAGAAGAGGATCCTGGATGGCTTCCTCTATCACTCTCCTCTTCCTTTGAGACAGGGTCTCTCACTGGACCTGGAGTGAAGCTGGTGACCAGCAAGCCCCTACAATCCTTCCATCTCTACCCACAACGATACTGGGGTTACAGGTGTGCAGTGGCCACAAACAGCTTTTTATGTGGGTTCTGGGGATTTGAACTCAGGTCTTCATGCTTGCTCAGCTAATGCTCTTAGCAACTGAGACATCTCAGCCTCATCTCAGGGTCTTCACATATTTTTTTTTTTTTTACCAAGATGTCTGTGAGCATACTTGATTCAGTTTATATAACTCAAAGTTTTCTGAACTAACACTTCTCTTCACTTCTTTCTGTTCAGTTATATCAGATCCCCCATATCTTGTCCTGTCCTCTTCTGTCTCTTTCAGAACTGCTAACTGCAACTCTCATCGCTCAGAAATAATCTAGTCTCTGAAATTTGGAAGACATAGCTTTGGACTATATTTCTCTTCTAGATTTAAAAATTTTTTAAATATATATATATATATATACATTATTTTTAGAAGAAGGATTTCATCGCAGCTTTAACATACTCAGTAACAGTTTCCAGAGCAAAGATACATCTCTTTCAAAAGTGGGCTATAAAATTTTTAGATTCACTGTTGAATTAATGCAGTTATACAATATTGAACTTAGTATAAACCCTGTGAGACATAAAATTGAATGAGTATTTAACCTTTAAAAAAGATCTCCATTTCAGTTTAAAATATACTGTTTCTTACAGAAAGACTAATTGTTTTTCCTAATAACACTGAGATGTTGGCACATGCGTCTCTAATCTGTATGTATCTGATTATTACTAGTCATAGTCGGTTGCACTTGGATCCTTGGCATCTGTGCATGGCTATAAAGTCATTGGGTAGATTTCAATGGTAATGTTTATCACCTCTACTAATTAACAGAACATAAATTTTTATGCTTCCTCCTCAAATATAGCTCATTTTAAAAAAATTCTTGTTTTTTTTTGTGTGTATATCACACAGAACATCCCAAACCGTCTTGTTCATCTATATACCCACTTCCCAGATGGCACCCTCCCATAGCCTCCCCCCTCTCGCCCCACCACTAGAGCTCTTATACTCTGTCATCCTTGCTACTGTCCACTGTGTTGTTGGCACCCCCAGCCGTTCCCCACTACTTGTCCATCCAGTGAATCTAGTCAGCCTATCTAGAGGTCTTTGTTTTAGGAGGGTCAGCTGTTCCTCATCTAGCAGCAATCAAATTAGTTGTCAATATTCCTTTAGATAAGATTGGGGTCTGCTATTCATTTTCCCAGTTCTATGCTGGGTTACTATCTGGGAGTCCCTTGGGCCAACCTGGCCAACAACTCAAAAGAAGGTATCACCCATCTGGCATTGTTGCTTGTTATGTAGCCTTTAGGTATACATATGGACTCTTAAGAAATTATATTGGCCCCTTTAAACTTTGTTAAGGCCATACAGTTGGCCCAGATAAACCAATTTATTTTTACTCTTAAGGTCATTTAAGGATCTGTTCCTCAGGGGTCACATGGGCTTGGAAGGAACCTCTGGCTCCTTTCTTTTACCAATTCCACCTATGTGAAGATAAGTCAAAGGTCCTGCTCTACCATGGCTGGCTTCACTTGGAAGCATGGAGGAAATGTTCCTTTGTGTTGACCTTCCTCTCTGTAGACTGGACACTGGTTCAAGTCCATCTTGTGGGGTCTCCTTGGCCTCCTTGATCAAGAGGACAGGTGACCCACCACAATTACAGAACATTTGGGGAGGTGCTCATAGTCCCCTGGAACTAGTTGACCTAGGAGGGCAAGGAGCAAAAACTGTCCTTTATGTCCCTCTGACCAAATTATTATAGGCCATAAAGTATGTCTGTTAAACATCCAAGAAGATTAGTTCTATCAGTCTGGTACTTTCAATTACTGTGTGGCATGTAGATACATCTTGGGCAAAGACCAGTTGTTCTCAGATAAACCTTACCTAGACATATATTTATAAGGGATCTGATATGTATAATTTGTCAGTAGGTTGTTGGAGTAATATGGTTTCCTCTGGTTTTTAAAACTAGCTAGGCATTATCTCTTGTATTATCTAAACCCACCATCATGGTTTCCCCAATTAAGGTGCCCCATTTTTTCCACCACTTTCTCCCTCAATAATACCCTTCTCCTATGTCCTACCTCTCTTGAGCTCCATCTTTCCCTTTATCCCCTAGGTTTCTTGTATACACCCCCAACCCAATTTTTATCCATATCTCCCTTATTAAGGCCTGTTTCCTACTATTTTTCTCTTTCTGATTCTTTCTTTTCCTTTACCTCCCTGGTTACTTTCCATTATCCTGGTTCCTGTAGTTATGTCTGGATACATACTCACTTATCAGAATTTGGTTCTAGGATTCACATATGAGGGAGAACATGCGTTGATTTTTTTTCTGAGTCCGTGTTACTTCACTTAGTATAACCGTTTCTAGTTCCATCATTTACTTGCAGATTTCATGATTTCATTCTCTTCTAGATTTTAACTTTCATATTAGTAAATTGTGTCTATCATCTATCTATTTATCATCTATCTATCATCTATCTATCTATCTATCATCTATCTATTATCTATCTATCATCTATATCTATCATCTTTCTCCATCTATCATCTATCTATCTATCTATTTATCTATCTATTTATCTATCATCTATCATCTATCTATCATCTATTTTTGTGATGAGTCTAATTATGTAGTTACTGCATTTAGAACTTGGAGTGGAAAATGCTCCTGGCAGAGCAGCAAGGCCAGATTGGAGAAGTCTGAAACCATTGTGTCCTAGCTGACTCCATTTTGTGCTTCATTCACCCCCCTCCCAACTCCTTTAACCACATCCTGCTGGGCAGAGCATTTCATTCTCATCCAGTTATACCTGCAGTTCAGGAAGTCTTTTGTTTCTGTGGTACTGAGAAACTTGTTTTGTCTAGCTGAAACTTTTATTAGATGTCCTGTCCCTGATATGATGTAATTGTGGTTTTGGGCTTTATAAGCCCAATGTTGTCCCCAGTGGGGTTGAGAGTGCTTTCAGGCATGAACCTGCTCTTGACCACCAGCAATAAAGGACTTTTAATTTGACCATCACTGTGTGGTGTTTCTCTGTGACTTGCATTGTAGTTTTCTCCATCTGATCCCCTGGCCCTTGGACACTAACCGTGATTAGCTTCCTGTTTCATACTTGGTCTCACAGGTCCTGCAGTCTGATATGGTTTGTCTGTAAGGCAGACACAGGCCAATCAAGGGCACAGGGGTTCCTATATTAGATCAGCCTGCTAATTAATTAATTTACAAGAAACACATGTGAGGTAGGCAGAAGAGTCACAGTAACATGACCATTTGGGCAACTAGTCACTAGAAAACCACATTGGTGAACACAAAGCATCAGCAAGAGATGAGGTGTTTCCTAAGCTCAGGACAGCTGCTTTCCTTTTCCAGGCAGACTGGGTTCCTGAGTCAGCCGCCACTGCCAACTGGCCTCTGCCGTTCTCAGTTCTGCATGCTCCACATGTGTGTGTGTGTGATCTTCTGCAGGAAACTGTCCAACTTCATCTGCCTCTGCCTCTTGATTTATTGTCTAGTTTTCCAAGAGAAATAGAGTTTTCTCTTTTTCTGAGTTCTTGCTGATACAGACAACAGCTTCAAAGTGGATACTCCTTCCCACCTTGTAATAATAGTAATTTAATCTTTATTTAAATGATTTACATGATGTTCTACAGACTTACTTATTTACTTACTTTTGAGGCAAGATCTCAGTAGCTCAGGCTGGCCTCAAACTTGCTGTGCAGCTGAGGTTGACCTTGAACTTTCATCTTGCACTTCTGATCCTCTTATCTCTATCTTCCAAGTGTTGGGATTATAGGTGTGCACTACCATGCCCAGTTTCACGAGGTGCTGGAAAGTGAACTGAAGGCTTCATGAATGCTTGGCAAGCACTACCAACTGAGTTACATCCCCAGCCCCAATATTCTAGAAATTTAAAAGCACTCTCATTAAATGGATATATGCTCCCTGAAAGTAGCAAGAAGAGTCCTTCTGAATGTCTTGGCAGATGTTTTTCCACATCTGTACCTGCATCTGTGTATCTACAGCATCTGTATCTATATATCTGGAAAGAGAAGTTCAAAAACTGTTTATGTTTTGTTATTTTTTTAATATAAAATTGTGTTTTAAAGTGGTTAGGAGGAGTGCCTGCTTTGGGCCAGTGATGTGACTCCATGGGTAAAGGGTGCTTGCTACCAAGCCTGATAACCCACTCATATGGTAGAAGGAGAGAATGACTCCCACAAATTGTCCTATGACCTCCATACATGTGCCAGGAAAACACACACACACACACACACACACACACACACAAAAAAAAAAAAAAAAAAAAAAAATGTAAAAGGTGAAAGAGGGCCTGCTTATGGTAGAAATATCTTTGTTTGGAGACTGGTCATATATAAAAGACTTGTCATAAAATAAAATTCCCTAGTAAATTAAAATGCCTAGTATTTTATAGACTCCTTAGTTCTCATTTTTATTTTACTGACCTCAGAATTGCTTTGACTGTTTACTTTTTTCACTCATTTGTCCTGTAGTTGGCCAAGAATTCAAGAAGTCCGGTGATTATGATTGACAGAGAGAAGAAGAGGCTGGAAGAGCTTCTGAAAGGCTTAGATGATGTAGACTCAGTGCTGTGCAGTTCTGAGGTACGTAAACTCCCAGAGTCAATGACTTTTCATTGCTTCATTTTGTCATCTGATCATAGGTTGTTAACCTCTTAGCACAAATTTACAGCTTTTCCATTTATAAGATATTCTCTACATTAAAAATTCTATTTCATGCATTTATTTTTTAATGTTTTCAAATTATTGATGTATTCAAATTCATTATTAACTCTGAGAGATTATTTTAAGCCATTATAAGAGAGACCATTTATTGGTTATTACAATGATAACCTCTGCCTGTGGTGTGTTAGGCTGAGTTACTGATACCATAATAACGTGTTTCTTAGTGTCCTCTTCCTATCATCATCCTGTTCATGGTATTTCAGTGTAGTCTTCAGTAATCCTGCAGAACACTGTTCTGTGCCTGCCCAGTTATCTTCACCACCCAATTCCCTGGAAAGCCTGGGGAGAGACTCTACTACAGGTACAAATGCAGGTGTTTTAGAATCTGGGAATGTTCCATAGGACTGCAGTGGGTCAGTGTTCACGTTTACATGTTAATTGGGTAGGCGTGTTCCTTGCTTCTACAAAGAAGTAACATTCCTGTGTTTCTTGAAGGACTTGGTGCTGTTGCCTGGCTTTTATTGTCCTATGCTAAATAAGGATAAGATAGAGGGGGTACTGCTGGACCCTGCCCATATCCCCTTTATTTTTCACCTGTTTGTATGTCCACCCCCTCCCCCAGCTCTGAGGTGAGGGGATGCTTGTCATCTTTCTTGCAATCTTGCCTGGAGCCAAATGGGAGCCAATGGCATAAAAGTGGAGAGCATAGTTTTGTTTTGTTACAGATTTCAGGACCACCGGGAAAGACTACCCAGACTCAAAAAAGTTCCAAATTGGTCAAATTAAGCTTTTACAATTTCATTAGAATTTTAAAGAAACAGAAATCCTCAGAGCAGGCAAGCTGGTAATCTTGGCAGCTGCCTTGAGGAGGTGAATGGCAGAAAGAAAGCAAACAAGCCATGAAACCATAGAGGTTTAGAGCTTGCTTGGGAAGTCAGACAGGTGACTGACTGGCAGCTAGGAGAAGGAAGCTTTAGAGAAAGTAAATGTTTGGGGCAGCCCAATGCTTTAAAGAAAGCATGTTTAGTAAGAAAGGAGAGCCATAAAGGAAAGGAGAAACTACACTTCCCTGAAGAACTCAGGGAACCGGGGACAACACTCAGAGACTATGTGGCTATAGCTAGTCCGGAAATTCTGCACTATTAGGTGGGATTCCAGGCAGGAAAAACTCACTATCTCATTAACTCACTAGGTATTCCACCCATCTCTTTAGCATGACCTACCTTCCTAGGGGTGGACCTAAGACTAGATGATTGACCAGTGAAACTTCAACAAGATGGAGGTGCTTGGAGTATTACAGTTTGAGGTTCAAAAGCAGTCCATGCAGTGATGGCTGTGGCCCTGGGGGAGGATGTACCCATCAAATGGAGCCAACACTCAGCTTCAGTTCCATGATTGCCCTGGCTGCTTGGATCCTCCAAATTTTCCAGGGAGGTAGAACCCAGATTTCCTTTTATGGAAATGTTACATGTTTTAAAATCCGATAATTCATTACATGAAAAAATTCTGTGTGGCAAGCAAAATATTCCCACCTGCAACTCCAAACAAAGAGAAAAATCTCAGAATATCACAGATTACAACCTCTAAACCTTTTCTGAGATAGTGAGGGCCCAGTGGGAGTGGGGTACAGGGATGGAGGAAAGGGGTGGGCTAGGCAGGCTGCTAAACATGAGGAGTCTCTGAGGTGCTTCAGCCTTGCTGCTCACAGTGACTGTCTTTACTAACAAAAGCTCAGATCACAGAATTAGAGGCCTGGGCTTTATTCTTGGTCTTGTTAGTTATTAGCTATAAAGCTGGGCAAGCTGCTTTCATTGCTTAGGTGTCAGACTGTGGCATGTTGGACCTTCCTTAAATGTTCTAGGGATGCTTGTTGTTATTAACATTGTTGTTAGCATTTATGTTTTGTCCCATTCATATTTTAAGCTGTATAATATCAGTTTTAGGTAGATCTTGTACAGATATTGTGTACCGTATAGCAGGATTTTTGTATGTCTTTATTTCTGTTGTTAGTTTCTTTTTAGTTATACTTTAATGAGCACATTTAACACACTTCTTCTTCTTCTTCTTCTCCTTCTCCTTCTCCTTCTCCTTCTCCTTCTTCTCCTTCTCCTTCTCCTTCTCCTTCTCCTTCTCCTTCTTCTTCTCTTCTCTTCTCTTCTCTTCATCTTCGTCTTCATGTTCATCTTGGTTGTCTGGGTGGCCTCCCGATCAGCCTGCCTCTGCCTCCTGAGTGCTGGGATTAAAGGTGTGTGCCACCACACTGGGCCTCAAATTATATATTTTAGTGATCATATTTGATTCATTTTCTTCACTTACCCTCTTTCCCTCATATGGTTTTGGAATTCAGTCTTACTTCTCATCTGACATTGTAGTTATCTCTCAAGCTTTTAACATGCATTAAGATAAATGTACATTTTCTTTTCAACTTCAAGAATTAATTTCTAAAATCTTACATCTTTTTAAAAAATGTTATTTATTATTTTTATTTTATGTGTATGAGTGTTATGCCTGCATGTAGGTAAGTGCACCTGTGTTGTGCAATGCCCAAGGAGGACAGAAGAGGCTGTCAGATCCCCTGGAACTGGAGTTATAGACAGTTCTTAGCTGCCATGTGGGTGCTGGGAATCAAACTGGGGTCTTCTGCAAGAACAGTGTTCTTAACTGCTGAGCTATCTCTCCAGCCCCCAAATCTCACATCTTAACAAGACTGGATTTTGGTAGATTTCATTTTCTTTTCCCCCATTTCCTCTCCTCCAAGATGTATTGAAATCATCTGAAATTTCAGTTTCAGAATGTTACCTTTCAGCTGGCCTACAGTGAAGGCCTGAGGGTGGTGTCTTCTCACCTTTATTGCCTTCCGGAGAGAAGGGTGGGATCTGGACATCAAAGTGGGGGACATCCGGTCTCTCAAAACGAAATGTGCCCCAGTGTGCCCACTGGAAGCTTGCAGGGAGACATGGCTGCTATACTGGAATGCAGGCTGCTCTTTGGATAACACTGGTTCCCTGCCCACCACCCCGGTCCTCGAACTGTCTCCAAGGTGCCTGAGAGACTGAATATCTGCCAGTGCCGCTCCTGGAGCTATACCACATCACCGTCTTAAGTTCTCCAAGCGTATACAGTAGCGCCACCAGTAGACATGGGAATTGTGGGCTTCCCTCATGCCCATATAGAAAGGGATGACTGTGACACGGATGTTCTCAGTTGTTTCTCTGTGGAAATCCGAAAGCTCTAGCCAGGGGTGGTTCTTCTCTTGCCAGGCCTGTAGTGTTTCCCGAGCAACAAAAGGAGGTGCTTTTGTCTGGTCACACAGAAGAAATCTTTCAAAGAGTTCATATTGGATGGGAACCTGATCCATGGAGGTACAGAGGAGGATGTCTTCATGGTTGACATAGTCAAGGCCTGGGATGGCATAGAGGATCCAGCTGTCATCATGGTTAGCCAAGAAGGTCACAGCTTCTGTCTGAGATCTCTGAGATATATGTGGACAGTCACAGGCATCAATCAGCACCTGATAGTAAGTGTGAGTTTTGCCTTTGACCTCCTTAGAGCCATGGCCAGCAGGGTTCTCTGCTTTTTCTGGAGCTGCAGAAGCCACATCCCTGTCATACAGTCTGGCCTGCCATGGAAACAGGACATCCCCTCGGTAGCCAAAAACACTATGAAGTGTTTTACCTTTGAAGACAGTCTGTTTCTTATATTTTTGGAATTTGTTTTGTAAAATTTTGTTTGTGTATATGTATGTGTGAACATGTTCTATATGTGTATGTCTGTGCATGTCCATGTGCATGTCCATGTGAAGGCCAGAGGGCAACATTGCACGTCTTCCTCTATTGCACTCCATCTTGTTTTTTGAGTTAGGGATGCTCAGTGAACCTGGAGCTGACCAATTTTTTGAAACTAGCTGGCCAAGGCAATCCAAGGATCCTCCTATTTTTGGCTTACAGGCAAGTACCACCAGTCCTGGCTTTTATGAGTGCTGGGGATCTAAATCAAGTCCTCATGCTTGCCTGGTAAGTACTTTACTAACTGGGCCATCTCCCCAGCCTGTCTTTTAGGGGCATTTTACAACAAACCAATTTTTTGTGCATCTGGACTCAACAAATCACTTATTTGCATAAATAGCTTTTCTTGTATTGTTTTTCTGGATTTTTTTTTTTTGGAAAAGTTTTCCTAAGAATTGATACTAATGTTGATAACTTCTTAGTGCTTGAACATTTACAAATTTCTTTATTTTACTTGTCTTGAATGACAGTGTGAGTGGCCACTGAAAAACCTTCTCTAGAAGCATGTAGGATTTTCTGTGTTGAGGAATTCACAAATTTTATCAGATTATTTTATAAGATAAATTTTGTTCTTGCTTGATGCCCTGTAGGTCCTTCTATCTGAAGATTACTACCTTTCTTCCATTCAGGAAGTTGTCTTCTGGTGTTTCTTCCCTTCCATCATCTCCTTTGTGTCCTTTAGGACACCATAAAATGGGCTGTCAGTTGAAAGTACTGGCTGTAAGCAACAGAAAATTTCACAACAGCAATTTAAATAAAGAAGGAGCTTATTTTGCTATGGTAACAAACCCAAGAATATTATGGTCTGAATCTAAAAACAGCCCTGGAAAGTCTTGTGTTTAGGGCTTGGTTTCCAGCTGGTGGAATTTTTAGAGGTGATTGGGTCATGAGGGAGCTAACCCCATCAGTGGAATCTCCCACTGATGAATTCATAGCTGAATGGGCTATTTTAAGTTGGAGCCTGCTCTGAGAAAATAGGTCATGAAGATTTTGCCTTTGAAGGGCATATTCTGTTCCTAGACCTTGGTGTCTGTTTCCAGGCTGCCATGAAGTGAGCAACTTTCCTTCCTTGCTGTTCAGCTACGGTGTTTCTGCCTTACCACAGGGCTAAAGGCAGTGGAACTAGCCAACCCTAGGCTGAAACCTCTGAACCCATGAGACAAAGTAGTCTTTTTCTTGTTTAAGTTGGTTTGTTTGGATATTTTATCACACTGATGAAAACTAACACAAGGTGTGACTTATTTTTTCTATATTCCCGTTCCACATTCTTATGGTTACTTTGTTGTTAATCTTTGAAGATCAATGGTGTATCTGTAAGCAATGTGCCATTTCTAGGAAGGGTAAAGAGCAAAGAGATACTTATTGGAGGCTTTGCCTTTTTGTTTGGGAAGGTCTGGTAACCCAGGACTTCTGTCTGCATCTCCTTGTCCAAGCTGGGCCATGCAGCCATATATACATTGACTTAAGGAGGGGAAGAGGAAGTCAGGTGTTTTATTTCACTTATTTTTTAAAGATTTATTTATTATTTATGTATTTATTTATTTATATATTTATTTATTTATTTGTTTATTTATTTATTTACACACATGTATGTGGAGGGGTACATGTGGAGGTTAGAAGAGGCTCCTGGAGTTGAAGTTACAGATGAGAGCCACTTGACTTGGATGCTGAGAACTGAACTTGGGTCCTTTGGAAGAGCAGTAAGTCCTTTTAACCACTGAGTCATCTCTCCAGCCCTGAGATAGTCTACTTTCTAGTTTTATAGCAGGTGTCAGCAGGGACCAAAGAAATTAAAAATGGGCTTAGAACACCTTCTGACTTTTTCCTCCAGGTCATATAGTATTTTTCTTATAATGTTCATCATTTTGTTGTCATTTTGCTCATGGGATCATTTTGTGGTTTTCCAAGGTGACTTTCTACAGTGTCTATTCTGTTGCTTTGCCATTTGGCCTTATTATGAGATAAAAAGATTATTATTGTTTTCACAACTATTTTCTGAGAGTTCTTTCTTTAAGTCCTCTTACTAACTGGTGTGGTGAATGGATATAAATTCAGGAACATACAGAAGTTGTCCAAAGCCAAATAGATGGTGCCACATTGGAGACTGAGAAGTGGAAGGTAGTGGCGGGGAGAGCTTAGGAAAACGTCCAGGAAGGGTCTGTTTACTGTATTCTCAAACCATACCCACTCTTGCTGTTGCTCATGTTCCATATGGGAATGGGAATGTCCTATATGTGTGGAGATGCTCTTTTAAGCCTCTGTTTCCGCATGTCCTTTCCTTTGTGGAGTGCCCCACAACCTCATCACTGACAAACACCTACCTAATGTAAAAGAGGATGATTAAGATGATCGTTTTGTTTCAATTCTGAGAACGCTCACTCACTGATTACTCTATTTAGTGGTGTGCTTAATTTTATGGATGTCATGTTCTTTTGAATGTCTTTGGACACATACTTGGAATTTTTAAGAAGTCCTTCTATTTGAAACTCATACTTGCAACCAATAGCAGCTTCCTCTAAGGTAGTTGCCTCCACTGCCATTCTTTGTAGCAAAGTGGGGTTCGCATTAGAACCCAGATCGCTCACATCTTATACTACTGAATGGATAAGTCTGGCTGGTGGCCACTGAGTTACCTGCTTGAGCTCTGACTGGAAAGGAAACTAGGAATAATGTCTGGTTTTCATCTTGGGAAGACAAGACTCCTTGCAAGGTAGAAAATGTGAATTTTATATGTATTAAGGGTGTCTAGAAGGTGCTAGACAGGTAGGACTACACAATACCTTCTTTTCAGTATATAAACTGTATTTCTGTAATTGCACAGGGCATAAACATTAATGTTTCTGTTGAGTTTAATTTACTAGGCTCCTTTAACTCTAGCATCATTAAAATAATGTCACTTAGGTAAGAATTTAAAATTAATTCCTATTTAGTCATTGATTCTGTAGTTTAACTTTTTGGCAATTATTTCTCACTTAAGTCATATAATAGTTATGCCAATTTCATTTAGGAAAAATTAACGAGAGTTTCTTATTCATGACTAATTTGGTAATACTATTTTTTCTCTAGTTTTAGATTTTAGGCTTTTTTTTTTTTTTTCTTATAACATGGCAGTAAACATCAGATCAGTTGCTGGGATGTAAGTGCTGCAGCTGAGCTTCACTTCACACCTTACAATTTTGCTTCCACAGACTGAGAAGTGCTTGAGTGCAGATCCTTGAGCCCGTTCAAGTTTAATCACTCTGCTTCACCTATGCACAGTTGGTATGCAGCATGACAGTTTTGAATGGATGCTTTGAATGGATTTTAAAAAACAATGTGAAACTTGCAGAATGAGAATGAGATGGGCATTTAGATTTATGAATCCAGGGCAAGCACTTTTCTGGATTCTACGCTACTTCTGCAGCACTGCTAAGGGAAGAACTAGAGATTACTTAAACTTAATGAAATTTATTTGAGCAAGAAAAAGTTTCCGAAACTGGGCAGCATACAGTGGTCAGAGAAGGCTTCCCAGAGGAAAATGGGTTTTAAAGAAACAATATGATGGGTTCTGTGCCTGAAGCTGGAGCTGGTGAGGACACCTGGAGGCCAAAAGACCAATTAAGAAGCAATGGCCAGACTAGCAAAGTGGCTCAGTGGTTAAGAGCACTGACTGCTCTTGTAAAGGACCCAGGTTCAGTTCCTAGCATCCACATGCCAATAACAACTGTTTGTAACTCCAGTTCCAGGGGATCTCATATCCTCTTCTGATCTGCATGGACACTTCACATATGTGGTACACATACACACATGCAGACAAAACACTCATACACATAAATACACATAGATAAAAATTAAAAAAGAAGGAATGGCTAGTAGTGTAGATGAGTAAAAGGATGTTTTGGAATGGAGAACATAAAATAGATTTCAGAGATAGTTAGGAAGTATGGTATGGAATGAGCTTCCATAACCAGAGAGGAGCAGGTGTATGCAGAAACAACCGGATTGGCTGCGATCAGTACATCTGCTTAGGTCAAGTTTTGCTAGTTTCAGTCTCTCATTGGCTAGATGTTCTGTTCCACTGCTGTGATTGGCTGAAACTTAGTTCCTTGGCTACAATGGTTTACTGCCTTGCTAGGTTATGGTTGGTTTATGCATGGAGCTGGGAGTAACACATTGTATGTGAAGGCTGCTTTGGCCAACTTTATTCAGGCATGGAGATGAGTTTAGATTAAATTTGTTTTGGGTCAACAAGATAAAGTTTGATAATACCATGTATATGATTGGTTAGACTTGATTTCTTCCTTCTCAACAAATCAATTTGTTTTCTAAAGTAGAAAAATTAGAATGTTAAGAGAACCAGCTTATATGTCTAAGAATTTTTTTTTAACTGGGAGAAACCCCACACAGAGTGCAAGAAAGTTCTTTGCACAGTCTTAGCAGACAATAAAACCGTAAACTTTGTTCTTTTACTTTCCCAGGGTTAATTCCATGGTGTTTTGTTTTGTTTCAGAAAGTTCTGGGCTCAGATGTAGAAGGCTAAGAGGCATGTTTTGGAACAAACTAGGGTGAGAATGACCTGGCCATCTTTGTTTCCTTTTAGGGTGATCAGTCTGCTTGGCTGGGCCCAGGGGAAGGATACACACTTGCGGTGACCCAGGTTGAGCAACTTGCTGAAATTGATAGAAAACTCCAAGAACTCTCTACACTCTTCCCAACAATCTTCAGCTCTTCTCTAGGACTGGAAAATCAGGAGGAAAAGGTATATTTAATTTAAGGGCATATAAGTTGTTCGGGGAAATTCATAGGAAAGCTGTTTCATATACTTTTACAGTCTGATCATTAACTCAAGAGGTATCTTCCTAGTTGCTTTATTATTAATTTTAGTTTCCATAGCAATGTGTATTTTCTTTTGTTTTTTTCTACTTTCTACCCATGTTTTCTTTTAGTTGACAGTTTAGCAGGATGGGGCCATTGAGGAAATTCTTATTTAATACTATTATATCTTTATGGTTTAAGATAGACCTTGATCATGAATAGAAGGAAGGAAGAGAAGAAAATGAGTAGTGTTGGTTAGTCCTTTGAAAACCTTACTGTTCTTTGTTTCTCTGGTACTAGATGTTAGCATAGCCAGCCACCTGTCCGTTATGCTGTCACATTCTTTCAACTCCTTTATTTTATAGCAAGAATGAAGCTTTACTATGCTAACTTCCCTCCTATGAATGTGAATGGCTCTTTCAAATATTCTTTCACAAGGTTGGTGGAGAGTACAGAATACAGAGAACAGTAGTGCTTTGGGAAAGCAAAATTCTTTCTGCTTCTCTACATTTCAGTGCTTCCTGCAGTATAGCTTGGGGTTGGGTGGTAGTGTGAAGAGAAAGTGTCTCTTTTTTGTGATTTTTGTTAGCCTTCTACCAACTTTGTGAAAGTTCACCAAGTCATGTAGCAATTTTCTTGATCTTTCAGAAGATTTAAATATCAGTAACCTTAGTGAGTCCAGCCTAGAAGCTCTTCACTGAAGGTTAGGGATGTGGATTTAGTCCAATTTGAGACAATCTCAGGCAAAGAAACAATCAAGATGGTCTGAAGAAAGAGTTTGGCGATTGGTAGCACCTTCCTGGAGCCATCCCAGCTCCTTATGAGAGGTTTCTAAGGGATGGGCATGGCCATCCCTGACCCCTTGAGACAGAAGTATTGTATTCCCAACATTAATTTTTGGGCTGGGATTATAGTTCATGGAAAAGGGTGAACTGGAATCTTCTCATTCCATACAAAAACACTCTAGGACTTTGACAAAAGTTGCTATAATATATTGTATTACTGAGTTCTGTTTCTCAGAAAAGGATACTCACAATGGAGTGATAAGATTGTCTAGAGAACTGGGCATGGTGCTGGTGTATGCCTTTATTACTAGCACTTGGGAGTCAGAGGCAGGAGGATCTTTGTGAGATTGAGGCCAGCCTGGTCTACATGGTAAGTCCAGGCCTGCTGGGTCTACAGGGAGACCTTGTCTAAAACAAAACACAACAAAATATTGTTCAGAAGGGCTGGAGAGATGGCTCAGTGGTTAAGAGCACTAACTGCTTTTGCGGAGGATCCAGGTTTGATTCCCAGCACCCACATGGCAGCTATGAACCATCCTTAACTCCAGTTCCAGGGGAATCCAAAGCCCTCTTCTGACCTCTGTGGCATTGCATGGCATGCATGCACTCACATACATGCAGGCAATACACTCATACACAAAATAAAAATAATAAATAAAATATTTTTAAAAATATTGTTCAGAGATACTCTGTTCTTTTCATGTTTCAGGATAGCTAAGATCTCAAGCTTAATAACATTCTTAAAGACAGAAAGTATCTTTTCCATGGCTGTCCAGTGTTATTTTTTT